ATGGATGCGGATATGTGTTATCGCTATGGTTCAAATGACCATTGGTCCAGTGTTTGCCGAGCTCCCTAGAAGGTTGTATCTGAATATCATTCTCGTCGTAAGAAGTTTAAATCAAACTTTGTGCAAATGGACGAACCAGAAAGTACAAAAATGGAGGTTTCTGACTTTCAAGAGGTTGTTACCCCTATGGAAGATTAGAATCTTAGACATAAACTATTTTTTTAGTTGAAATTGGACATTGCGGCCGAATTAGTGGCTGAACCCGCTTGTGTTTTGGTTAAATTTTGAACAATTTTCCTTTATGTTTGGATTATTTATTGGTGATTTGTTTTTTGGATATTAAGTTTTTAATTAATTACCATCCTTGAATACTTAAAATTATTTTGAATGGATATTTGTTTTTACAACTTTTATGCATGTGACTGATTTAAATTAATTTTTTCATTTTAGGTATGACTAATGAGGAAGTTAGTTGTCTGGCAGATAGTGCAACCACGCACACCTTTTTGAGTGAATGCATCTATTTCACTAACTTCATACCTAAAGATACACCTCTAACAACCTTCTCAGACTCATCCAACCTGATCAAAGGATACGTTAAGACACGTATAATGTTGTCCAATGGTACAATCTTGACCATTGATGAGGTACCCTATTCTCCACATTCTGGAAGAACGTTGTTGAGTTTCAAGGATATTAGAGATAACAATTACCATGTTGAAACCTATGTAGAAAGCATAGTTGAATTTATGTGCATAACTTCCTATGAATATGGCCAGAAGCGTATCCCGAGTGGTCTGTATACTATGATCATACGACCCATAAAATGCAATTATGTGGCCTAGCCCTACCTTTGGGACCGCGCACAAAATTACACTTTGGCATGATCATTTGGGACATCCTGGATGAATAGCGATGTGCCGTATCCTCAAATCATCACACATGCATCCACTAATCCAAAGTTGAGGTTCGATTCAAGGAATCGCATGTCAAACCTGCTCTATGGGAAAACTTATCATTAAGCCTTCTTATGACAAGACTCATTCGAATCCTTCCATTTTTTTACAAATGATTCTGGGGGACATTTGTGGACCTGATTCACCCTCCATGCGGACCATTTAGATACTTTATGGTTTTGGTTGACGTTTCCACACGTTGGTCACACGTGTGCTTGTTGTCCACAAGGAGCACTGCATTCTCCAAACTGTTGGCTCAGGTTATCAAGGTCACGACTCACCATCCTGATTATTTGATCAAATCTATTCGATTGGATAATGCTGGAGAATTCATATCTAAAACTTTTGATGACTATTGCATGTCGGTTGGGGTAGAAGTTGAACATTATGTACCCTATGTTCACACCTAGAACAACCTTGCAGAGGCATTCATTAAGCGCTTATAAATGATTGCTCGATCGTTGGTCATACGTACCGAGCTCCTAATCGTTGCTTGGGGCCATGCAATATTGCATGCAACCATGTTAATTCGCCTGAGGCCTGTTACGACCCAACCATATAGCGCATTTCAGTTGGCTACCGGATACAAACCCGACATATCACATCTAAGCGTTTTTGGTTATGCAGTCTATGTGTCTATTTCACCGTCCTTACGTACAAAAATGGGGCCTCAACGAAGGATGAGAATCTATGTCGAATATGATTCTCCTTTGATATTTCGTTACTTATAACCTTTGACAAACAATCTGTTTACTGCTAATTTTGCAGATTGTCACTTTTATAAGACAGTCTTCTAGTCGTTAAAGGGAGATAAGAACGTCAACATTCTTGAAGAACGACCTGAATTATCGTGGACGACTCCCATTTTGTCTCATTTAGATCCCCGCACCACTTAGTTTGAAACTGAAGTGTAGCGCATATTAGATCTCCAGAGCATAGCTCAGAGCATGCCAGATGTTTTCACCGATCTAGCGCGAGTGACAAGATCACATATTTCAGCTGCGAATGTGCTTACAAAGATGGAAGTACCAAATGTACGACGGACTTCCCTCCTGGAGTTCAGGGACGCCACTTTGGTCAATCCACATACATTAGCAGCTAGCCAATCATCTACCCCTACACATAAGCGTAACATACCTTTTGGTTTATGAGATTCACACCCATAGAAGAGGAAACCCACGACACAGGCACCTGAAAAACCTACCGTGAATCCGACTATCGCTTATTCATTCTATCCAACTCATAAGGAAATTCTAGATTACAGAAGCGTCCTTGAAGAGACGAATCCTCCTCCCAAGAATCATGAGATTTCGATCTATTATGCTAGCTTAGATGATGTGTGGTGTAGAAATGAGATGATCGTCGACGACGCATTAGCATATGCAGTAACTACTGAGATCATGTTGAGCAATGACATTAAACCCTGTTCTATTGATGAATGTTGACATAGAATCGATTGGTCAAACTGGAAATAAGCAATCTAAGTCGAAATTGATTCGCTTGCGAAACGTAAGGTGTTTGGATATGTAGCTCCTACTCTTCCACATGTGAAGCTCGTTAACTACAAGTGGGTTTTCGTTCGGAAGCGTAATGAGAAGAACGAAATTGTGCATTACAAAGCTCATCTTGTTGCACAAGGCTTCTCATAACGCCCCAGGATTAACTATGACGAAACTTATTCACCCATCATGGATGTGATTACTTTTCACTATCTTATCAGTTTGGCAGTTTCCAAAAAATTAAGTATGCAGCTGACGGACATAGTAGCTGTGTATCTCTCTAGAGATCTTGATATGGAAATTTATATGAAAGTTCCGAAGGACTTACATTGACTAGATCAAATATTTCCAAACCCCGGAACATGCTCTTAATTCGGCTGAGGTGTTCACTCTATTGTTTAAAGCAATCTGGAAGAATGTGGTATAATCATCTGAGTGCGTATTTGACTAGTCAGGATATGTGAACAATGAACGATGCCCTTGTGTGTTTATTAAGAAGTCACATTTTGGTTTTGCAATTGTTAAAGTGTATGTCGATGACATGAATCTCATCAAAACTCTTGAAAAGCTCACAAGAACTGCCGCGCACCTGAAGTCGAAATTTGAGATGAAAGATCTAGGAAATACTCGATACTGTCTCGGTCTTGAAATAGAGCACTGTTCGGATGGAATCTTAGTACATCAATCAAACTACATCCATAAGGTGTTGTCTCGTTTTAACGAGGATAAAGCGAAGCCTTCGAGTACTTCTATGGTCGTTCGATCGCTAAATGCAAAACGAGATCCCTTCTATCCGAATAAGGATGATGAAGAGATTTTGGAGTCTGAAGTTCCTTATCTAAGTGCGATTGACGCTTTATTGTACTTAGCTCAATGTGCTACACCCGACATCTCCTTCGCTGTTAAACTTTTGGAAAGATACAGTAAAGCACCAACATGCAAACTTGGACTGGTGTTAAAGACATCCTCCGTTACCTTAAGGGTACTATGGATTTGGGCTTGTTCTATCCCTACGAATCCTTGAGTGATGTCGCACCCCTTGCTTCTCGAGTTGATTCTCGCCTTGTTGGTTATGCCGACACATGATACTTATCTAATCCGCACAAGGCGCGTTCTCAAACGGGTTATGTCTTTATCGTTAAAGGCACCACAATCTCTTGGAGGTCAACTAAATAAACCTTAGTTGTCACTTTGTCTAATCATGATGAAATTCTCGCATTACATGAAGCAACTCAGAATGTTTTTGGTTGAGAGCAGTTGTGGGCCACATTCGAAGCTCCTGCGATCTTTACCCCGTTGTTGATGTCCCTACGACGATCTATGAATACAACGCATCATGCATCCAACAGCTTAAGAAGGGTTACATCAAAGGAGACGACACCAAGCACATTACGCTGAAGTTCTTCTTCTCACATCAACAACAAGAGCATCAGAAGATTGAAGTCACGCAAATCCGTTTACAAGACAATCTAGGCAACCTCTTCACCAAATCACTGTCAAAGACAACATTTCAGAAGCTTGTTCAAGGAATTGGTATGCGTAAACTTTCTAAGTTGTAACATTGCTAGTTTTCTTTGGAATTGTGTCAAACTCAGGGGGAGTATTCTGAAGTATACTTGCTTGATCTTAATGTATTCTTTTCCCCTACAATTAGGAGCATTTTTTTCGTTGGGTTTGTGCTACCTAACTAGGTTTTAACGAAGCTCCCACCTTGGGTTGATCATATCCCTGATGACGCCCCGTAGACATTTCATTTGATTTTGCATTGCTCACGCATTTTTCCTTAGACTATGGATTTTGTCCCTACTCGGATTTTTGCCATAGCCTTAGGGTTTTTTGATAGACTTACTTCCTTATGCAAGTTTCTACCTTATTGAGAATAGCATGTTCCCAGCATCAGTGCTGACGAGTCGACTTCCTCAACTTCTACCTGATGTTGAATCTACCTTGAGTATTTACACACTCAAGGAGGAGTGTTGTAAACTTCGTATTAAAGTGTGATTGTATAAATCCTAGATTATATTTGATTTTAGGTATCCTTTCCTATTATGACTTGTATTCTTGGGGATGAAGGATTTCTTCTCTTCCTTATTACTATAAATAAAGGCATTACGTAGGAGGATAACACACATTCCCCTACATTCCTACAAACACATTCTCTCTACAATCTCTTTCCCTCTACCGCCGACCCTCCCTGTCAGATAAAATAGACCACAACATAAAATAAGTAAAATAAAAAAAAAATAAAAAAGAGCCCATTGCCACACGTAATTTTGAAGTTAAGGTCTTATAAAAACATAAATAATAAAAAAGAATATTCACAATAATAATAAACAAAAGAATGTGGGAGGTTTGGATTCAATGCTCCTGAGTTGGTAAGTATGCTTGACAGATTCCCCATAGAGCTTGGAATGGATAGATAATCGTGGGTTTTCACCGGTTGTTCTCTTTTTTCTTTTTGGAAAAAAAAAAAAACAATGATAATAAAAATAATTAAAAAAATAAAAAAGAGAGGAAACAACCATGAAAGTTGTTTTCTTTAACCGTAAGCCATACGAACACCAACTGAAACTGAAAAATTGAAAAAAAAAAGAAAGAAAAGAAAAGCTCTGCCTCTGAGCGTTCAACACTCTATCCCTTTATCCCAACCGGTGGAGGCAAAGAAATCAATCAACCAAGAAACAAAAGCAACGGGCTTTCTCATGGGGAGCTCTTGCTTTTTGCACTCACCCCTCTCCCTCTCTCCTTTCCCCTCTTCTTCTTCTTCTTCCTCTCACCCCATTTTCCTGTGTTCCTCCTCCAGGAATGCAGATACCAGGAGGAGGACGACGACGTTGCCAATGGCGTCCCTGCGGCAGGAGGACTCAAACGACAGCGTTTGCAGCAGCAGGAGGGCTATTCTGTTTGTGGGCATTTCAGTTCTTCCATTTTTGCAGCTCAGGGGCACTGCTCTTGAAGGCTTGGCCACTAGTAAGTTGAACTTTCATTAGAATGTTGTTTTTAAGGCAAAGAGATTATTGGGTTTGCTGATTGCTTGCCATTGTAATTCTTAGAGATTTGGGTTTGTGGCAAGTTGATCATTGCACTTCAATTGTTTGCCATTGAAAAGATTTGGGTTTGTTGCAAATAGTCTTGAGAAACTTAATAGAATTTGAATGAGTTCTTTTTTCTCCTTATTTTTCTGTTTCAAGTGACTGGTGACTCAAGATTCTGTAAATGCATTAGGGGTTTTGATGGTGCAGTTTAAGTTTAAAGGATGCTAATAAATATTAAAAATTTGATGGTGATTAGGCAATTCTAGAGTGGTTAATTGGTTATGGTATATTTCGTTTTGTACTGCATCAAGTGGGAAGTTTCTACTTGTAAGCATAAGTGATTGTAAGATTTTCCGGTTGTTTAAGGTAATTGTGCATTGCATAGGCATTGATCAGAACAAATCACCTAATACGTGTCATATGGTAGTACAAGAGAGTTTACAAGCTCTTGGGCCCCCGTGCCTTACTAGACAGTTTTGTGCAGAATTTCTAACCATGAGTCATGCCATTTGGTATGAGGGTAGGTCTCACCATGCAATTGGGCTAGATTCCATGGCTGGGGCGACCTATACCAAGTCTGGTTTAGAGTGCGCATTGGTATTATGCACGGGGTATAATTAAGTCACTGAAAGTTGGTGGGTGGTAAATGAGTGTAGAAAGACAGGTAGACGAGGATGTAAGGCATATAAGTGTTGTTGACTGCCTCGTCCCAAATTCCCCATATTGGAACAAAAGGAGTTTGTTTGGATAGTTTATAAGCTCTTGGACACCCTTCCCTTACAAGATGGTTTTGTAGGGGTAATTTCTACCCATCATTCATGACTATCTTTGGATAGTTTATAAGCTCTTGGACACCCTTCCCTTACAAGATGGTTTTGTAGGGGTAAGTTCCACCCATCATTCATGACTTTAAATGCTTAATCAGGAGTAAAGAGAAAATCTGACCCTAATGTTTTAGGTTGTTATAAGTTTATTAGTTAACCTTAATGCCAGGCCAGCTACATAAATTTATTGTCCGATCAGCTGTTCTGCGAGTCAGTTTCTTCTTTAGCAACTCAAAATAGCAGCAGAATTTGGGTAGTCATGTTGGATTTTTAGTTTCTTTGTTCATCATGTTGCCAACCAAACGAAGGGAAAGGGATGCAGACAAGCAGGATTTTAGTAGAGTTCCACAAAACACAGTTCATATCCTTTAAATGCGCAAAGATAGGATGTAGTTGTGGATCTTATTAATTAGGCAATAATATTTCTGATGTAGTTTAGGGTATTACTATTTACTAAACCTTCTCCTTATATATTTTTTATACGAAGATTCTGACTGTGCTGCATTTTTAGTTCTTTTCTTAGCAAGGACTGATATTATAAATTGTTCTCTTTGATAACAAATTTCTGTCTCGTTTCATGTGGTTTATGCGTCAGTTCCTTTATTTTTTTTATTTCAGAAGAAAGTGAGCTAAAGACACGGGAGGAGAGTAAAAACGCAGAGGTATGAATTTGAATGTCTACTAGATTCACTATAAAATCTCTATTTAATAATTTTGCCATAAGGCTTAATGTTCTAAAGTGAGTTATTCATTAAACAGGAAGCACCTCAAACAAATGGAGCAACAAATCCCGTTTTGTCTCTCCTAAATGGCATTGGTATATTCAGTTCTGGTGTTGTCGGTGCACTCTATTTGTTGACTCAGTCGGAAAAGAAAGCCACTGATGCCATCGTCGAATCTGTAAGTCCCTATCCAATACCACAGAAAAAGCTTTTCTTGACATTCTGAGACAACATAGACATACCACAGATGCTGAAGGGAGTCTAGTCCCTTTGAAAAGGAACCTCAAAAAGTACTAAAAGCCTAATGTGTGTCTTTTAATTTGGTTCCCAATCTTGTTTTTGTAAATGCTTCCGTGGAAACAGATCCCCCATCCGGCGCTCCCCTTTTCTTTCCTTGTTTCTCTTATAGAAATGCGAACTAAGCTCAACCAGTTAATGTATGAATCTGAGCTCGGTTAAATCACTCTCCTTTAGTTTTGGTTCTGTTCAAGAAAATACTTTTATATGCTTTGTCTGATATTACCCACATATACTATGGTTGAAATGCACAGATGAAGACCAAGCTGAAAGAAAAGGAAGCTGCTATTGTTTCACTGGGGAAGAGCTATGAATCTAAGCTACTAGGTGAACAGGAAGAACGGAGCAAGCAACTCGCAAAGGCAAAGGAAGAGCAGAATTCCCTAACAAGCCAACTGAGTTCGGCAAAAAGTACAATTGCAAGCTTAAGAAAGGAACTAAATGGTGAGAAGAAATTGATTGAGGAGCTTAAAATTCAAATTGACAGTCTTAAAACCAACCTTTCAAGGGCCGGAGAAGAAAAGGTGGTACTTGAAGAAAATTTGAAGGAAAAGCAAAACTCAATTGAAGTCTTACAGGGAAGGATTGATTTGCTCAATTCAGATATCAAGGATAAAGAAAATAATGTTCAAAGTCTTGGCTCTTCTCTTGTAGCAAAAGATATGGAGTTGAAGGACTTGAAATCTATCTACAATCAAACGAGGGATGAACTAGCCAATACACTTACAGATATTCAAAAATTGAAAGGCGAAGTCCTGAAAAATCAAAAGGAATTGGATTTGAAGAATTTATCTATCGATGAACTGAATGCAACAGTTAGTTCTTTAATTTCTGAGATAGATGATTTGAAGAGGAAGTTTGTTGCTATTCAGGAGGAATACAATAAGCTGAAAACATCCTCCGCTAGAAAGGCAGATTTGGATTCTAAGCTTTTGGGAGAAAAGGAAGAGGAACTTCAGCAGCTAAAGGAAAAGCTTGAACTTGCTCTGAATGACACGAGTAGAAACAAAGAAGTAATTGCTGATTTGACCCGAGAGAGGGAAAACTTAAAGGAAATTCTGGATAAAGAACTGGAAAATGAAAAGAATCTGAAACATGAACTCAATAGTACTCAGGAAGCTCTTGTAAAATCAAGAAGTGAAGCTTCCAATTTGGAAAATCAATTAAAACAGTCAAAAACTTTGTGCACGGAGCTTGAAGCTGAGATCTCTAGGGTTCTGGCCGAGTTTGCTGGGGTCAGGGAATCGCTGCAGAAGAGCCTTGATGAGGCTACCTTAAGTGGTGATGCGGTTGCTGGTGAGCTTGCTGCAGCAAAAGAACTTTTGAAGAAGACAAATGAGGAGCTGCAAGTTCTGTCCCAGGACTTAGCAACTGTTGTGATAAAACGTGATAGCCTGCAGGAGGAATTGGTTGATGTCTATAAAGATGCTGAAAGAGCTTCTAATGATCTAAAAGAAGAAAAACAGCTAGTTTCTTCTTTAAAAAAAGAAGTTAAAGCTCTGGAGAGGCAGATTTCGAAAGATAAGCAGTCTCGTAAGTCTCTTGAAACAGACCTGGAAGGGGCTACCAAAGCACTGGATGAGATGAGCCGAAGTGCGTTGGTACTTTCCCAAGATTTTGAGAGTGCTAATTCTCTAATTTCTAGCCTTGAAGATGAGAAAAAGGTCGTTTACAAGTCCCTTACAGAGCAAAAGATTGTGTCCAAAGAGGCCCGAGAAAACATGGAAGATGTCCGTAATCTTGCCATGAGACTGAGCAAGGAAAGGGTTGGTCTGGAGAAGAGAAGCAAAAAATTGGAAGAGGAATTGGCATCTGCCAAGGGTGAAATATTGTGGCTAAGAAATCAAATAAACTCATCCAAACATCTTGTAAATAATCAGCAACTGCCGGAAAAGGCTGAAGAGCCTGTCACTGTCGCTCCAAGAAAACGTGGTAGGAGGAAAAAGGCTGCCGAGTAAAGGTAGTGAAGTACTTTAATTGTGGTAATCTTCTTTTCCCGATTATTTTGAGTCTTCCTGTACCATCATCCTATGAAGCCAGTTGTTCTTTGGCTCTCTTGTTCTTGGACTTCAAAATTTTTCCCCGATATGAATGCGTTTTCAAGTAGGATGCTGAGGGAGTAGTGAAAAATGATTTGTATGTAACACAGATGTGATCCCTTTTACACACATGTTCAGTGTATAGTATTGATTCTGGAGTTTAGCGGATGTATAGAAGAGTCAATATCCAATATTTTCTTGCAACTTTCTGCATCTCTACTATCTGTATGCTAAATAGATTCTTCTTCCGCACAAGGTTTTCGGATTATCCTCGTTTAACAGGAAAATCCATACACAACCCTACTCATTGGAAGCACGATTTTCTGTTTTTCATTTTTCCTAATGTGAAATCGTTATAAATAACTGTATCAGTAATCCGGCACCAATTTGAATTCATGCAGTGACTGCACACTCGAAAAAATAGTAGTCTAATTCGTGCATGGCTCGAAAATATATATATATATATATCTATAGTCTATTATATACTGATCAATGCCTCAAACCCTAGAAAGTTTACGAACTTTTGCTGCTGCATTGTGATTGTGATGTGGAGATGCTGAATTAAAATCCAGTGGAAATAATGAGATCCACAAATTGAATCATGGGAGGATAAAAGCTGGAATAAGTGCTTTTATTCAAGTGCTTTTGGAGTGATAAGTAAGAAACTAGCTCATCCAAAAAGCACAGACACAGACAGATACCTTCGAGTGGAAGATAAAAAAAAAACAGTTGAAGTGGTTGCGACGCAAAGCAGCACAAAATGCTGTAAGTGTAGCAGCATTTTCCGGAAACCAAAAAATTAAAAAAGGTAAAAAAATGAGAGCTTGAAGCGACCACAGTGGAAGTCAAACGTGCTAATCCAGAAGCGAGTACTTACAAGTGAGATTCGAGGAGCTTTTGACCTGAGGAGGAAGACAAGAACTTTGGCTTTGTTTTACCCTCACCGAGCCCTCATCTCATCTCTCTGTCGAATTCCGGCCAGCCACCGGCCCACCGGCCCACCGCCACACCATACTATCGTCTCTGACTCTCCAGCCTTCCTTCACCACACAGCCACGCCACCACTCTCTCTCGCAATCTCTCTCTCGTGCGATTTTCTCTCACAGACAGAAGACCTCTCGATCCAGCACCGAGTCTCACTCGCACCCCAAAGTAGGTAATTAATTTAGTGTTTTGAAATCTATTTTCTGTTTTGCTTTTGAAATTTAATTTAGGGTTTGGAATTATTTGTATGCGGAGTTCCCTTACTGTGTTGGTCGAATGAATTGGCATGTTTACCATTTGGTTATCTTTTTCTGGTTGATCCCCTTTTTGCCCTTTATTCTTGTCTTGCGTTTGGTAATTGAAATTTGGATATCTGTTGATTTTTGTTTTTGATGTGTTTGGTTAGTGAGAAAATGGTGGGACAGTAGAAGGAAAACAGGTGTTTGGTCATTTGGGTGTGTGCATATATTGAATGAAAGAAATTTGAGAAGGCGGTCCGCTCTTAAAAGAATCCAGATTTTAACATTCAGTTAACTTAATAAGCTGAAAATAAAATGAAAAATGAATCATACAGGGAAGTTAAATTGGGGTGATCACTGTTTGAATTTGCTTCAGTTGTACTTTCTATCTATAGGACAAGGTAATGGATGGATATCCCAGTTTGCCCATATAAACTATTTGGAGGTATGTGTCTGTTTCTTATATACATACGCCCTATCATTCATCTATTTTTTATTTTTTTTATTTTTTTATCATTATTCAGGAACCACTTGAGGAGGTTCATCTGACTTAACATGATGGTAAACTCAGCGCTCCACCAAAGGGCAGAATCCAGCTGTTGAGGCACCAGATAATAAAGTTCCTGCAGAATGCATTAATTATAATAATTGAGTTGCTGCAATATGTTCAGTATTGTTACGCTTGAACTCACAGAATCACTAGCATGTTTTTTCTTTCTGCTGTACAAAACCACCTGCAATCGCACAATGTAGAAAGAAATTATTGCGTTTGGTTCTTCTGATCACAGCATAGTAATTGCAAATCGTACTCAACAATTGAAGTTATTTGCCATTAGCTAAGTTTGCTGCATGACGGTTGTGATAACATCTCATTTTATGTACAAACAAACTTATTTTGTCCCTACATGCTTCTACATTCGCTAAGTTTACTTCTCTCTTGCATTTGCTAGTAGTGTTGGTGCTCATTAAAGCTTATGGCATACACATCCTGTTCATTAAAGTTTGTGTTGTCCTCTCTTTAGGAGCACGGTGGTTGAAGTATAGCACCGACTGCACCACTCCACTCCATTACCCGCTATAATAACAATTGTATTCAGGTCTACTCCAATTGACACTAGGAGGTCTTTCATCTTTGAATAAGGTGAAGTAGACCTTCAATTGAGCTTAAGGAGATTGGTCCTCGGTTTGAATTGAGGCTCTTTAAGGTTAGTACTATATCTTCATTTTGCATTCACATGTTTGTGTTGTTTATGTCGTATGGACATTAGTTAGATATGAATAAATATGAATTCTCTTTATGTTAGTGGTATTGCATTTGAATTGGATGTGTGATTTATTGATTGGAATTTGGATATATGCTGAACTGTGGTTGTGATATATTAATGTGCATTGTTATTTTATTTGTTAGGATGGACGGGTCTAGTAGCCAATCTAGTACACCTATGGTTTCGGTATTAGGAAAACGAAAACAAACCCAACCTAGTGGTACCCTTCAACTAGGCACTCCCTCACCTTAAGATTATTTGGATGATGATTATTATGAAGATTGAAGATTGTTGGGATGTTGATCCGGATGTGGAGGAGGATATTGCATTAGAACAAATAGAAGAAGAGGGGGAAGAGCGGGAAGAGGAAATAGAAGTAGTAGTGAGACAATGGGAGGGTCCTCCTTGGAAAAAGGGCAATAAGAGAAAGGTCCAAGTCTGGCGTGGAACGATGTTAAGAGGGGTAACGATCACCAATAATAATGGGGAGCAATCGTTCATGGCCGAATGCAAGCATTGCAAACTCTTAGTACCAGCACACCCTAGAACTCATGGGACAGCGGGAATTCTTAAGCATTTGAGGAAATTCCCTGGTTCTAGTCTGTTTGAGAATGTGGATCCGAACCAACCTACATTGATAGAAGCGAGGGAAATAATAGGACTAGAATGTGGATGCTAAAATAGGGAAATGCATGCTAAAATGTACCCTAATATGACTTAAGTTGACGAAAAATTAAATAAAATAATAGATTTGAATATAATAGTAGGATGAAATTTCCCAGCTTTTAATGAATTTAGGGACTTATTTTACCCAAAAAATAATAATTTAAGGGCCTAATTTTCACTGGAGTTACAATTCAGAGAATAAATGACTATTTTTATTAAACAAAAAAAAAAAAAAAATGGAATTAACGACTATTTTGATTAAACAAAAACAAGAGTCATATTTTTACAGACACAACTTGTATATAATTTATATATATGTTGTTTGATTAATGTCTATTAAATTCCGCTACTCAAATATAAGTATATGATTAACGATTCTAATTAGCAGTATGACAAAAATAATTATAAGATCGATGTACAATTTGTGCGCTACTTGTCCTGGCACTTAGCAACTCGTAAATATGATCAACTATATATGGCCAACCTACTTGTACAAGCTGTTTTGCTATATGCTTTGGATTATGAGGTTTTTTTTAGTTTGGTCAATTTATGTAAGCATTAGGTGAACAAACTCACAAACACAATTTATTCTCTTATAATCCTACTCTATTGAAATATCCAAATTTAGTTGGTTCCATATTTGCCTATGTTAGGTGGTCTTAGTTAATCTTATATATAAATGGGGTAATCCGTGGCACAACTCCTTTTACACGGTTTTTGACACGGTTTTGTGGAGGCCTCTCTGCAATGTATTTTAACAAAGCGGTATTCTTCTTCATTTGTAAGTGAATTCTTCTTCACTTGTAAGTGAGAGTTTTTAGGTTAGATTCTTGCCAAAGACGAAATTATTAAGTTATCACAGTCAGTCCATGCTCGCTAATTTCTTTAAATTATTAAGTTTCTGTATTTTAATTTCTGTATTTTTGTGTTCTTTTGGTTGATGTGTTCTCAATTCTTTTTTGTCTTTGTGTACAAATGTGTTGTCAAATTTCTCATACTTGAGAAGCGGAATGGTTATCAAGCGGCCGCTACTTGTTTGTGTTTGCTGTGTAGAGTGAGCCATTGAACGATAGGATAGTAATACAAGCATAAGGTAATATCACAGAAGCAACTATATTACAGGAGTCCCACAAATTAACCTTATATTGGTTTTCCTTTAACGATTGTAAAATGACTTCTGTTACCATTTCTGTACACACTTCGGGCTCGTTTTGTACACATGATTGGATTGGATACATGATTGCTGCTACCATTTCTGTACACATGATTGCTGTCTAGTGAGTTGGTAAATGCTTAAACAAATTCAAAATGTTTAGTCCTGGGTTCTATAGTACAAGTTGTGTATGTGTGTGTTTGAAACAATATCCCTAATGAAAGTTATTGCGTTTTTACGCTGGTCTAGTAATGTATCCCGTGCTTCAGGTGTATGATGGGAAGGAAAACAAGGCAATTTCCTAATGAAAGTTATCATATATGCTTCCTTTGTGTGTGAATGTGCTGTAGTATAGTTGAATACAGTTTCCAAGGAACATGTATTTCTTGTCATATTGGAAATGGAAAATAATATAGCAGAGCAGATGATGAAGTTCTGAGTTTTTAGGTATATTTTTGTACCAATGATTCTGCTATTTTGGGGACCATAAAAGAGAGGTTGGTAACTTGGTATTGAGGTCATTCTCTTACGTTTGCTCAAGTTGCCATCAATTTTGCTTTGTTAATTAGATGTAAAAAAGACAGGAGACAGATAAATATAAATATTTCCTGGCCTCCTAGAAGGTTGAATTGGGACGGAAAAAGAGTTAATTCATGTGCTAAATTTGTTTAAAAGTAATGAGGTCATTTGTGTTGTGTTTCTATGATTTTTAAAGAATTTTATCGTTATCTTCGATTCTTTAAATTACTTGTATCTTTTCTCTCTGCATTTCGCGTTGAATTGTAAGACCTTCAAGCTATTTATTAGGGCCAGCTAGCTGAAGTTCTGTTTGAAACTTGAACTATTGTCCATTGTTGATTGAATTTTAAAAATATAAACTGGTGTGTGCCTGTTTTTTCACTGGTGCCCAGAAAAGATCTTCTGGTGGGCGTTCGAATTTGCGGCTGGTTTAATATTGGTTTTCTTTTGTTAATTTGCAGGATCATAACGAAGTTGTTGTTCTGTATTCTAAGAAAAAAATTGAGCTGTCAAAATCAAGGAGATCCTTTAACACAATATCATCTAAGGACTCAAAGATTTCTCATCCAGATTCAGTCCTGGTTACATTACGGGATGTAGAAGATGATGAAAAATTAGACGAAGACGATGAAGAAGTAGAAACATCAGAGTCAGCATCGTACAAAATCTCAACTTCTTCTTCATGTTTCATGCATCGCTTCAGCGTCTCCATCACAACCATCTCTGTTTCCCACAAATTCTCAACCATTTGCTCTCTAAACACCGCCCGGTTCATCAGACCCAAATCATATCACACCTGTCCCGCACTACTAGCAATGAATTTCTTGACTTCTTTGAACACCTTCTTCGACAATGTGCTGGACCTGAACAGTGCAAACAAGTTCATTCCCAAATTGTTACCACGGGCACCTGTCAGTCAGCATTCTTGGCTGCCCGGCTCATAGCTGTTTATGCACGTCTTGGCCTCGTGTTGGATGCAAAGAAAGTTTTTGACACCACCACAGTTGAAGGTACATCAAATGTGCTCATGTGGAATTCAGTCCTTAGAGCTTATGTCTCTCTTGGGTTTTATGTAGAAGCACTCCAACTATATGACAAAATGCGTAAACTGGGGGTTTGGGGAGATGGGTTTACATTTCCTTTGGTTATTAGGGCTTGTGCATTTATATCAAGGCTTAAGTTATCCAGGAGTGTGCATGCTCATGTTATACGTATGGGTTTTCAGAATCATCTTCATGTTGTCAACGACTTGTTGGGAATGTATGGGAAAATTGGTCGGATGGATTGTGCTCGCTGGTTGTTTAATAGAATGGGTGTGAGAAATTATGTTTCATGGAATACTATGGTCTCTAGCTATGCCTTTAATTATGACTGCGATGGTGCTACTGAGATGTTTAGGAGGATGAAGTTAGAAGGGTTTGTGCCGAATCCTGTGACTTGGACGTCATTATTGTCAAGTCATGCTCGTTGTGGCCGCCATGAAGAGACCTTGGAGTTGTTTGGTAGAATGAGGGCAGGTAGGAATTGAAACTACAGCTGAATCGCTTTCTGTGGTGTTATCTGTATGTGCTAATCTGGCTGTGGTTCACAAGGGTAAGATGATTCATGGATATGGTATAAGGGGTGGCTTCCAAGATTACTTGTTTGTGGAAAATGCCCTTATATGTATGTACGGAAAGTGTGGTGATGTAGAAAATGCTCACGAATCATTTTTGGGAATGAAAAGCAAGAACCTTGTCAGTTGGAATGCTTTGATCTCAGCCTATGCTGAATGTGGTTTGTGCGATGAGGCCTTTGCAATATTTTCTCGGCTGAATGAACACCCATTAATGAGACCTAATATCATAAGTTGGAGTGCTGTTATTGGAGGGCTTTCTTCCCAGGGACGAGGAGAGGAGTCTCTAGAACTTTTTCGGCAGGATGCAGAATGCAGGAATAATTGGCAATTCTGTCACCATATCCAGTGTTTTATCTGTTTGTGCCGAACTACCAGCATTGAACCTTGGTAGGGAAATTCATTGTCATGTGGTTAGGGCTTTGATAGATGGTAGCATTTTGGTTAGAAATGGCTTGGTTAACATGTATACGAAGTGTGGAAGTTTTAAGGAAGGGCATCTAGTATTTGAGAGTATTGACAGTAAGGACTTGATAACATGGAACACTATGATTGCTGGATACGGGATGCATGGACTTGGTGAGACTGCTCTAAGAGTTTTTTATCAGATGCTCGACTCGGGATTAAAGCCAGACAAAGTAACATTTGTTTCTGTTCTTTCCGCTTGCAGCCATGACGGGCTAGTCACAGAGGGTTGTCGTCTTTATGATCAGATGATTAGTGTCTACGGTATAGAACCCCAGATGGAGCACTATGCGTGCATGGTTGATCTTCTCGGCCGTGCTGGGTTATTGCAAGAAGGAAGCAAGATTGTGAAAAACATGCCAATGGAACCCAATGCTTGTGTTTTGGGTGCTCTTCTTAATTCTTGTAGGATGCACAAGAATAGTAATATAGCAGAAGAAACTGCGACCAACGTTTTCAGCTTGAACTCTGAAATGACCGGGAGCTACATGCTGCTGTCAAATATGTATGCTGCTAGCAGGGAGATGGGAGGAGTCGGCGAAGGTGAGGATCTCAGCAAAGACAAAGGGTTTGAAGAAGATCCGAGGCCAGAGTTGGATTGAGGTGAAGAATAAGGTTTTTATGTTCTCGGCAGGGGAGACTATGCAAGCAGGGTTGGAGTTGATTCATGGTATCCTTCAAGACTTGGCGCTTCAAATGGAGAGAGAGGGATTCAACACAACAGGCTACAAATGTAAACATATTTTTCCAAATGATAAATTGGATTATGTTATTCTTGGTCAATATATTTATTAACTACTAGTTCTTGTGCACTATAGTACTAGTTTTGACTTTGCTTTAATTGATTGGTACCTTTTTTTTTGGATTAATATTTTCTTGGCTTTTCTTTTTTTTTTGTTGAATAAACGATATTATCTACAGTATGGAGTAAAGAGAAAATCTGACCCTAATGTTTTAGGTTGTTATAAGTTTGTTAGTTAAACTTAATGCCAGGCCGGCAACATAAATTTATTGTCCGATCAGCTGTTCTGCGAGTGAGTTTCTTCTTTTAGCAACTCAAAATAGCAGCAGACTTTGGGTAGTCATGTTGGATTTTTTGTTTCCTTGTTCATCATGTTGCCAACCAAACTAAGGGAAAGGGATGCAGACAAGCAGGATTTTGGTAGAGTTCCACAAAACACAGTTGATATCCTTTAAATGCGCAAAGATAGGATGTAGTTGTGGATATTAATATTAGGCAATAATATTTCTAACGTAGATTAGGGTATCTACTAAACCTGAAGATTCTTACTGTGCTGCATTTTTACTTCTTTTCTCAGCGAGGACTGGTGTTATTATAAATTATTCTCTTTTATAAACAAATTTCCGTCTCGTTTCATGTGGTTTATGCGTCAGTTCCCTTATTTCTTTATTTCAGAAGAAAATGAGGCTAAAGACACCGGAGGAGAGTAAAAACGCAGAGGTATGAAATTTGAATGTCAACTAGATTCACTATAAAATCTCTATTTAATATCTCTTCTTTTTATTTTGTTAAATGGTTGCCATAAGGCTTAATGTTCTAAAGTGAGTTATTCATTAAACAGGAAGAACCTCAAACAAATGGAGCACCAAATCCCGTTTTGTCTCTCCTGAATGGCGTTGGTATATTCAGTTCTGGAAAAGCAAAACTCAATTGAAGTCTTACAGGGAAGGATTGATTTTCTCAATTCAGACATCAAGGATAAAGAAAATAATGTTCAAAGTCCTGGCTCTTCTCTTGTTGCAAAAGATATGGAGTTGAAGGACTTGAAATCTATCTACAATCAAACGAGGGATGAACTAGCCAATACACTTTCTGATATTAAAAAATTGAAAGGTGAAGTCCTGAAAAATCGAAAGGAATTGGATTTGAAGAATTTATCTGTCGATGAACTGAATGCAACAGTTGTTCTTTCATTTCTAAGATAGATGATTCGAAGAGGAAGTTTGTTGCTATTCAGGAAGAGTACAATAAGCTGAAAACATCCTCCGCTAGAAAGGCAGATTTGGATGCTAAGCTTTTGGGAGAAAAGGAAGAGGAACTTCAGCAGCTAAAGGAAAAGCTTGAACTTGCTCTGAATTAAAACAGTCAAAAACTATGTGCACGGAGCTTGAAGCTGAGATCTCTAGAGTTCAGGCGGAGTTTTCTGGGGTCAGGGAATCGCTGCAGAGGAGCCTTGATGAGGCTACCTTAAGTGGTGATGCGGTTGCTGGTGAGCTTGCTGCAGCAAAAGAACTTTTGAAGAAGACAAATGAGGAGCTGCAAGTTCTGTCCCATGAATTAGCAACTGTTGCGACAAACGTGATAGCCTGCAGGAGGAATTGGTGGACGTCTATAAAAATGCCGAAAGAGCTTCTAATAATCTAAAAGAAGAAAAAGAGCTAGTTTCTTCTTTAAAAAAAGAAGTTCAAGCTCTGGAGAAGCAGATTTCGAAAGATAAGCAGTCTCGTAAGTCTCTTGAAACAGACCTGGAAGAGGCTACCAAAGCACTGGATGAGATGGGCTGAAATGCGCTGGTACTTTCCAAGATTTTGAGAGGGCTAATTCTCTAATTTCTAGCCTGGAAGATGAGAAAGAGGTCATTTGCAAGTCCCTTACAGAGCAAAAGGTTGCGTCCAAAGAGGCCCGAGAAAACATGGAGGATATCCGTAATCTTGCCATTAGACTGAGCGAGGAAAGGGATGGTCTGGAGAAGAGAAGCAAAAATTGGAAGAGGAATTGGCATCTGCCAAGGGTGAAATATTGCGGCTAAGAAATCAAATAAACATCGTCCAAAGATCTTGTAAATAATCAGCAACCGCTGGAAAGGGCTGAAGAGCCCGTCACTGTTGCTCCAAGAAAAGGTGGTAGGAGTAAAAAGGCTGCCGAGTAAAGGTAGTGAAGTACTTTAATTGTGGTAATCTTCTTTTCCTGATTATTTTGAGTCTTCCTACCATCGTGCTATGAAACCAGTTGTTTTTTGGCTCTCTTGTTCTTGGACTTCAAAATTTTTCCCTTATATGAATGTATTTTACAAGTAGGATGCTGAGGGAGTAGTGAAAACTGATTTGTATGTAACACAGATATGATCCCTTTTACACACATGTTCAGTGTATAGTATCGATTCTGGAGTTTAGCGGATTTATAGAAGATTCAATATCCAATATTTTCTTGCAACTTTCTGCATCTCTACTGAGTATCTGTATGATATATAGATTGTTCTTCAGCACAAGGTTTTCAGATTATCCTTGTTTAACAGGAAAATCCATACACAACCCTACTCATCGGAAGCACGATTTTCTGTTTTTCATTTTTCCTAATGTGACATCGTTATAAATAACTGTATCAGTAATCGGGCACCAGTTTGAATTCAGGCAGTGACTGCACACTCGAATAAATAGTAGTCTAATTCGTTCATGGCTCGAAAATATATATGCTAGCGATTGCCCGTCCTATTAAGGTGCTACATTTCAGCTATAGACTAGGCAGCTAAATGCCTCAAACCTTAGAAAGTTTACAAACTTTTGCTGCTGCATTGTGATTGTGATGTGGAGATAATGAATTAAAAATCCAGTGGAAATAATTAGATCCACAAATTGAATCATGGGAGGATAAAAGCTGGAATAAGTGCTTTTGTTCAAGTGCTTTTGGAGTGATAAGTAAGAAACTAGCTCATCCAAAAAGCACGCAGACACAGAGTGATACCTTCGAGTGGAAGATATAAAAAAAAAAAAAAAAAGTTGAAGTTGTTGTGACGCAAATCAGCACAAAATGCTGAAGTGCAGCAGCATTTTCCAGAAAACAAAAAATTTAAAAACGAAAAAAATGAGAGCTTGAAGCGACCACAGTGGGAGTCGAACCCACGACCTTTTGATCCGAAGTCAAACGCGCTAATCCACTGCGCTATGCGGTCCTCATGTCAATCAGTAAGTTTTATAATTTAGTTTATCTTAAAGGGATTTTTTTGTTTGGCCCTACCCGTATTAGAGCTAGAAGCGAGTTGACTGGATTCGTGATTATAATTTATTGTTTTAGTTTTAAAAAGCTTTTACATATTGATTAATCAAATGAAAAAAAATGTATAGTATGCCACCATACTTAATTTACATTTTATTACAAGAATTTTCATCATTTTTTTTGAGAAATGTGAGACAAATCATTATGTGAAAATGCTAAAATACATGGTAACATGTGTTTGATTTTGAATACAAGCACATAAGCAATTATATTCCTATTGTAGATAAGTTTCACCTGACGAGTTAAGAGTAGCTGCGCACGACGAGTTTTTATTATTTTTTTATGTGACTTTAGAGTAGGCGTGGTTTGGTATGGGGTTCCAAACTGAAAATAGAATCCCGATCCCAAATTAAAAATTTTCATGAAGGGAATTTGAAGACTAATCTCAAACCAAATTTTCATTCATACCAAGTCATATTGATGTTCCAAAGTTCCAAACTACTTAATTTCATACTTCTATTTCTAATATAGTCTACTATCAAACTACTTCAATTCAATATTCAACATGCATGCAACTACAATAAATATATATATATATATATATATATGGTTCGGTTCGGGATTTCTGAATCATTGAATATGTAATCCTGATTCGCGTACTGAAAAGTTCGGGATTGATTTGGGATTTCAGGGAAAATTTTCCACCCTAAGTTAGAGAATACAAATCATTAGATATGTCTAATAATACACACGTTTTCGTAACTTCAGCTGCACAAACTATGATTTTCCACCAACTCACTAAAAATAATTCAAAGAAGAAATGTAGTACGCATCTATATATAAAACGACATATAAACGAACACAACAAATTCAACAAAACTACAGTACTAGTTTATATGGAAAATCTTGTATAAATCACACCGTACAAGTGCCAATAACAACATGTGCAAACGATATTCTATACTAATTTACAATAAAGGAAGATGAAGAGTTTGAGTTCGAGACACACTAAATTAGAGAAGAAGACCTTAACTACTAAAACAATCCATCGTTTATCCTGATTTCCTAATTTTTCCAATTTTCTAAACTAGAATAATATAATGATAGTGTTATCCATACACTTATTTTTATTTCTTAATCTCTTAATTCCCGACCGTCACGTTGAATGAATTGAAAAAAATCAATAAAAAAAAATTAACAAGTGTAGGAACTAAAAATGATTGTGTGAAATGTAAATAGCACTATTCGTATACAATAGTTGAAAAAGAAAACAACAAAAAAGGAATGGTTACTAATTTTACACTATTTTTAGCTTTCCTCACACATTTTTTTTATTTCTGACTATCAAATAAAATGAAGTAGGTAAATGATAAGAAGATTCTTTAAAATGAGACTTTCTATTGCCTCATTTTTTTTTTTTTTGCACAATGTTATAATGTTAGCACAAGAATGGTGTAAAAAACATGAGATGACAGAGGTTCACGAAGAGAGTCTCATGTTGAGAGAATCTTCTTAACATTTCTCAATAAAATAAACGAAATCAACCCTCATAATTAAATATGAATGTATAAGAAACTAAAAATAGTACAAAAGTAGTACATGTTTCCATTAAAAAAACATAAATTAGAAAATTAGGGACTGTTTTTTTTTTAAGAAAATTAATGAAAATGATTTGAAACTTTGAGTTTCAATAATAAGGATAAAATAAAGGGTAAAGTTAATAGTACTAGAATTAATTTTTTAATGTAAAAATATGATTTTTCGTTAAAGTAAACAGTACCTTGTCTTTTCGTTAAAACTTTTTTTTTTTTTTTTTTTGGCAAAAAAAGAAAAGAAAAAAGGCCAGCACTATCTGGCCTCTGCTTTCTCATGCTCTTGCAAATTGCAATTAGCACAAACGAACGACGAATTTCTTTGTTCGTTTATAAAAAAAACACGAGAGTCCAGAAGAGAAGAAGAAGGCTTTCCTCTGAGAGACTCTGCAATTCCGTCGCCGATCTCTCAACTGTCAGCTTCAAGCTCTTCGTCCTTCTCGATCTAGGTTTTCCAATTCCTCTTCTTTCTATACAATTCCCTTTTGTTCGATTTCAGATTGGATCTTCCAGTACACTTTTAATTTCATACAAGTTCCAATTCGGCCTTAAATTCCCAATTTTCTCGAGAAAATTCTCAGTTTTTTTTGTTATTTCTTTAGTGGGGAAGATCCCATATATTCTGGCTTTGTTGAATTCAGATTATTCATGGGTTTCAACTCGGGGTTCAGTGAAATGAATGTTAGAGTAGAAATCCAGAATTTTGTAAAATCAGGTTGATTGTTTAGGGTTCAAGCTTGTTGATTGAGCATTGGGATTATTGGGAACTCTAATTGTCCTTAAAGTTGCAGACTTGGGTTTAGGTTTAATTTTTTAGAGCAATTGGGAAGTGGGTTATTCATGCTTTTGGAGAAATCATTAGTGGTTTGAGAGTTTGAAGGGCCCCTGGCTGTGTGGGAATTTGATTATTGTAGTAGACAATGTTCTATGGTACATTGGTATGGGACCCTTGGCTCATTGTTGTCCAAATTGTGTGCCTTCAATGTTTATACTATCTCACTCTGGGGTTCTTCTTGTCTATTCTTGTTGGCACTCGCGTGTCTCGAATGAGCCTTGTGTATTTCTTTGACTATGCTACTCTCACTATCTCCACGGTCACTGGGTGGTGTGTCATTGGTTCCTATCTGCTCAGTGCACTTGCAGGGTGAGAATCTCATACTACTACTATTTCCAATTGCATTTTATTTTTATTTTGTCGTGTTTTCCATGTCTGCATCGACATTACATTTATTGTCTGGAACACAATTGATTTTATTTTATGTTTGTAAATGGAACTCTTTAGTCTTGTGTGAATTATGAATTGTGCATATGTTTGTTTGCAGCGCTGGATATCTGCTTCTTCTGATTGAGAGGGCAAAGAAGTGCTTAGATTTTTCAGCCACCCTATACATTGTACATCTCTTTATATGCATCGCTTATGGGGGTTGGCCTTCGTCAATGACATGGTGGGTTGTGAATGTTACTGGAGTTGCAGTGATGGCTTTGCTAGGTGAATATCTCTGCATTAGACGTGAACTGCGTGAGATTCCTATAACACGATATCGTGCAAGTAAGAGTTTTTCCATCCTAAACTAACTAGCTAGATGTACCCAACATAAAGTTGTCATGTTCATTCATCTGGGAAAATTTGGGTTTTTTTAGTAACCCCTTCACATAGACCCAATAGAAACTCACCTTTATTTTTTTTCAAAATTTAGAAAACCAACCTATTTTGGATAAGCAATTTTAAGGCCATTCTATAGTCGAGATGTGGGATGGGTAACAAGATTTTCTTCCAGCATCTTGACTCACACATCGACAATGTCTTGGTTCCTTCAAGTCGGAAACAGTTTTATTTTCCAAAGTTTTTAGAAAAAGGGTTGGTGTATTAATGGACCTATGCAAGTCGGCTAATTTACGAAGAAATCCATAACATTTCTTTTTGGGGTCAATTTTATGTCAAATATGTTGTGTCCATGTGCTCTTTGTGCTATTTTTTATTATATGCTTCAAGAACTTGCAGTTCTTCATTCTTATTTGTTAGTATTTTCATAAAAGATAGTTTTGTTTTTGCCCAGATGAAAAGATATGATAATACTTATGCTCTGCCTTCCTGCTTATTAGATGAGATTATACCTTGTCTGCCATGTGTTTTAAAATTAGTTGTTTACCAATCATGATTTAGACTTCCCATTCATGTATGTCTTTTTGGTTGATCGATGTCAAATGTTGGGCTTGCTGGTAGGTTGATCATACCTTACATCCTAAGAAAGTTCCATTGCTTGCATTAATTAGTAATTTAGGTAATGTTTTGACTGGTCAAAGCTTTATATATAGAATCAAGAACTGGTCAAGTAATTGCATGACTGACTTTTATCCTCTCTTCTCAAATCATTATATCTTCACAATTACTTGGAACTATCTCCATGCAGATGTTTGACTGACGAGAAACTCGACAAGCAAGAACAAACATTCATGTGGGATTATAGTGGCTATTCTTTCGTTGCTGAGGAACTTCTAGATAAAGATTATTAATACCAAATTCAATCTATGATGAGGAGAGAATCTACCATAATGTGTGGAATCTTTTATCTATGACGGTGGCTGTTACGGAGGACAAGTGTAAAGTTTGACACAGTGCATTAAATGATGGGGAGCTTTGAGCAAATGAGACTAGGTATGCATTGTGCTAGGAAATCATAATGTACAATTTTAGGTGGTTTTGAGTAGAGCAACGCCTACTACGTTTCTGATATCATTGTTCTATTTTATTTTCTATAAACATGATACGCCTTGTCAATCTGGTTGCATAATTCTTGTTTGTTACCATTTCTGGTAATTCTTCTGTGTCGTCAGACTTTATTACATAGGATTAGTAAATTGAAATTCCGAGACAGAATGCTTGAACCTGGTAGCACTTGTTCTTTCCCTACGTTCTTTATGTTGATCTTAGGCATGCTTTCTAATTTAGCTAAATCACGAGTTGCAAGCCTAAGAATTTTCTTAATGAGATTAATCGAACAAAAATTCTGCTAGTTTATAAGAAGGCTTAGTGTTAAAAGATGTGTTTTGCTGTCTAGTGTTTTTCCTGGTTGTTGCTTGTATATCTAACTCTTTGTTATCATACTCCACATCTGCTAGTTTTAGGGCCCGTTGGATAACGATTTGGTTTTGAGTTTTTGAACTTGAGATACGAGGAAAGTATGTGAAGACTATAAACCAGAAGCCAAATGGTTATCAAACGGACTTGTAATGTTTAGAGCACGTTGTACATGAGAATTATGTATATTTTTGGTAACATCTGCATTAGGAACCTTTCTCAAGTTTGGAAGCGTGAGCTGTTCTTTGTATCAAGAAATCATAGTAACTAATGGAAAATTGATTTCTCTTACCGAATCGTTGACTTACGACTGGCTGGAAACGTTATAATTAGACGAATTCTATATGTGGTTGCACAAACCTATTGCATTTGCAGCACTGTTCTAAAAATCGTCCTAGGAGGCCACCTAGGTGCTAGGGAATGGAGGGCCAATGCGATTTAGGCCTAAACGTGTAGAAAAATCGAGGAGGGGCTAGGTGGCGGCTAGGTGTGGTGGGTACGTTGGCCAAGCAGTGTCTAGACAGTTCTATTGTTTTTAATTTTTTTTTTTTTTACTAAATAACTTAAAGGGTTTTACGGGTAACCTACGAGAAAGGAACCTGGATTATAAATTAGTAAATTTTCAAATTTAGTTTTCGGTTTTTCTTATTTTTAGTGCATTACTCTGTGATGATTTTTATTTTTAAGAGTGTAACTAGGCACTTATTTATGTTATATAATAAATTTAATTAAATTCATCGAGTCTGCCTAAGCCTCTACCTAGCGTCTTCTAAAACCTTGATTTGCAGACACAAGCTTTTGCTTCCTGATGCGTTCGATGATGCACATTTCATTCAACTTATAATTTGAATAGACAGCCTTACTGCATGTTGTTTTTATTAAGTCGTGGTTCAGGAAGGCTTGCAAAATGTTTTCTCAAGGAATGCTGAAACCTATTCCTTAGCCTCGATTTTTCACGTCGTTCAAGATGAAAAAATTTCAGCATCTAAGTAACACCGTTACGTGGTATTATTGGTTCTCTATTGTTATAACGCATGTGTATTTGCTAATACCTCTAAACGATACATCTGTCATCAAATCATGTTATAATACGTGAATTAGTAGCAGCAATCCAATCTTTCGAGAACTAGATCTCGAACCCTCTCATAGAGATTGGATTAGTGCCACTTAACCAAGCATCTAATTAGTTTTTGGTGTGATTTGACTTATTGTTGAGCTTTACTTCATCATGCAACACAACATTGAAGCTTAAAATAACGCAGAAATTGGACAACAAACTTCAAAATTTCTTAATTCAAAACAAAATGATTCTTTGCCTTGGATTCCCTAGAAAAGTAAATAAAAAAACCGCTGGCCTCGACCGAGCTCTTCCTACCTAGACTACGGAGGAATGCAGAGCTAGTTATACATAAGTCTCTATGCTTCTCCTTCCATTCTCCAACTGAAGCCCTTTGGAGTAGCAAGTCATGGTTGAGCCTTCCAGTCGGATGAAATGTCAGCTACAGCTTCTCCGACTGTAAGATAGAGCCCGTTCAATCCAAACGACTCCAATGTTTCGGATTGTTTTAGCTTTTCCATTACACTTCCAACAGGGTTTGCCAACACAAGCTGCCAGAGTAAACAATCACCAGAAGAACAAAATAAGAAACAATGTCCACAACTACTGAAGTTTCAGAGCACTGAATGAAGTGTTTCGATATAATTCTCACCTGAAGCGATCTTTTCTCCAGCATTTTTCTAAGTTCTGACATCATGTCGGTACCACTAGTGTCTATGGCTGTCACAGCTGAGAAGAAGATGAAAACTATGAGCAAGATGTGGGAAAACATTCGCTACCACATTGTTACATGCTGTTAGTGTTCGAAGACTCAGCAAAGATTTCATAAATGGTGTACCTGTCATGTCCAGAATTACACATTTCAGTGTGCTCTCGTTGCTTGCTTTGATCCTCTCTTCTTCCTCGCAAACCCATCCTAGTATCCTGCACGTAGGAGAACATAAGTCAGATAACGAAAGCAAGAAGGTGATCGTATCTGTATTATCTTTTAACAGTCTGCTGGAAACTTACCTTTCTTGTAGGTACGTCGAATTTGCAAAGTAGATGGGTGCCTCAACTGCTAGTATGAGGAATGAAGGAATCCTTGATGCTTCTCTGTATCTGTTGAGATTGTGATATGTCTGTGTCCCTGGAATGTTCCCTAGAGCCATTGTGTTTGGCCTGGTGACATGAAGAAGAATCTTGAAAATCGATACTCCAACCTGAAATGTACAGTCAAGATGTTAGAGATTGAAAGTTGACAAACGCCATTAACCCGATAGAGACAGTAATCTTAGAAATTAGGAAATTTAGGAAATCTTACCGCAATTGCAAGGCCAAGAGGACGGAAATGAAGAGAACACCGAAGAAGGAGCACATGCAGGCCATGAAGTCGAGTTTGTCAACTTTCCACAACCGGTATGCAGCTTGGTAATCGATGAGTCCGCTCACAGCGGTTATGATAATGGCTGCTAAGATGACATTGGGGGTGTAGTAGAACAATGGCATTAGAAACAGCAGAGTGACAAGCACAGCTGATGCCATAATTATGTTCGAAACTACTGTTTGTGCTCCAGCATTGTAGTTTACCTGCAGATCTAGAGAACGAACCTGAAAGTAAACGAAAATTATGCTTTTAGTTACTGCCTTAATCGCTGGAGTTGGATTGCTTTTAGGTCAAGCAAGAAGGGGAGGATCTTTACCGTGGTAACATAGCATGAAGAGCAAGAACCACAAATGTTCATGATCCCAATAGCCATCATTTCTTTGTTTCCATCAACTTGGTAGTTTTTCAGAGATGCAAATGTTCTTCCTACTGCAACTCCTTCCTGCAATGCAAGAAGGATACGCATGTTTAATAGCTATATGTGAAGGACCTGCCTCGTAAGAAGAAAAACTTCGAAGAGTGTTCCTCCTACGTGACAGTACTGAGTGGCAGAATAGTCCAGTTAAAAGAGAGATGGATCCAATATTTGGGTGACTTACTGTGAGAGACAAAATCCCTGTTATAATGCCAGTTTTAATAGCAAGAGCAAGGTGAGGGCCACCAAAGTATAGCATGTTTGATGAAGGTGGATTGAGACCCTTTGGCAAATGGCCAATCTGTTACATTAAACGTTTAATTTAGTGACAAAATATAATAACAATCTTTATAATCACAGTTTGATGCATGAAGGAACAATGGTTCATTTCATAGGAGTCGAGCAACGTTCATAACTAAAATCGCCAGATCTAGAAGCAAGTACTTACAACTGAGATTCGAGGAGATTTTGAATGGAGAAGGAAGACTAGAAGCGTAGAAATGATAACCGATGTCAATGGAGCTGCTGCTGCAACCCAAAAGAGCTTTGGCTTTGTTTTACCCTGTACCCAAAAAATCATGTATAAAATTCTAATTTGGAGATGATACACACAGACACATAATTGTGGATGATAGAGAGTAGGCTAGAGAAGCTTACAATATGTCTTGTTGTGAATAGAAACACAAGGAAGCAGAAGCCCATTACAATAGTTTGCCAAGACCACTGCGCACGATTAAAATTTTAATATTAGTGACACTAAATTTGTAATAAAGACAATCAAAATTCAAAATTTTCTCTGAAAATGCTTTTGTGTAAAGCGCTTTACTTGGAAATACTTGCGGAGTATAAAATTTTATTAACATTTAAATACTTTTGAGTATTCATTTGAGGGAGGGGTTCGATTCATTTGAAGTTGGAACTCGTGATTCACTGTCAGGGGTGTGTTAGGGTTAAGTTTAAAACATTTAAAATGACATTGTTTTAAGAGATTTCGGTTCGATTTTCGAACCAATGAAACTAAAACCAAACCAATAGGTTTTAGTTTGGTTCGGTGTTCAAGTTCGGTTGGTTTTTCTTCAGTTTGATTTTTTTTCCAACTTCGGTTCGGTGTTGGGTTCAATTTTTTTTCGATTTTTAGTTTTTGAAACCCCCTTACTTGCAAATGCTTTGTAAAGAAACACATATATGTATATATTTTTTTATCTACAATTTTGTCTATTTTAACCAAAAGAACAATATTTTTTAGTATTTATAGACAAGTGGCGTCGATACATATATGAGTCTTGAAATTGATCCAATTGCTTAATTTAAATAATCTAAAACCATTTAGTTAAATAAAAAATATAAATGTATATAAATAAATAAAAATTGAAAAGAACATTACGAAGGTGCTTTTTAGAATGTACAAATTGACCTGAAATTCTCCTCTAACTAATGCAATGAAAACATAGAGCGAACAAGTGACAGATTCTTTAATTAAATCATTGAAAAAGGTAGACACCTGCTTGCTTAAAATAAAAGTATTTGATGGCAACTGGCAAGTATATATCCTTTGGTTATTAAAAAAAAATAATAATAAATAAATAAATAAAGCACCTTTGGTTGATTTTTCTCAAAGCACTAATAACAGTACCAACAAGGCAACAACATATAGCACCTTTGCTTGATTTTTTTATTCATTTATTCCATGATGCTGCTTGCCAATAAATCTCCAACTGTTAACTATACTATAAAAATAAAATTATTTAATTCGGTCGAAATTAAAAAAAAAATGTTTAAAAAGAAAAAAAAATATTCAGTTATTGTTTTTCTAAAATAAATAAATAAATAGTTTAATTTTCTAAACAAAACTTGAGTTGGTTGGTCTTGTAAGAGAAAGTTACCTCTCCTCTGTGGGTGATAACCGAGGACACGACAGAATAAAATTGCATTTTGGTAGTGAAATGAACAATTCCAAGCAACCCTTTGAGCTGTTGCAATATCACAATCACTGAAGCACCCGCCATAAATCCAACCAGAGTTGCCTTTGACAGAAAATCAATTATAAAACCTAACCTGTAAGATCAATCACCCAATTGATCAATTCAGTTAGGGTCATAGAGTCTCTTGTAATTCAGCTAATTAAATTATTATAAACTACACACAAAAATTGTCCCAGTTCAATGCGTCCTGCTGTAATAAAACCCTAGTGCTATTCACTGTTATGTAGTGGATTCCGCTAATAGAAAAAATATTATGATTTTTATATGAACGATAATAAGATATCTAAAGCTGCTTAAAGTTTTGTAAGCTTTTTCTTGTACAATAAAAAGTAATTATTGTCGCTTAGTGTAGCTTAGCGTCGTTTATAATAAAACTAATTGTTTTTTTTTCAGGGAATAAGTGAAGTTATTACGTACCTTAGAATACCCAGAGAAGCCTGAAACAGACCAGCAAAACATGTAGCAGTGAAAGCCAATTTGAGATAAAGAATGGGGTCTTCAGTGCTCGAAACAGCCTCACTTAACATCGATCCCATGACCAAAGATGCTATCGAAACTGGACCAACTGCAAGATGTCTAGAACTCCCTAGCACAGAATATATCAGTGGGGGGACAAAGCTTGAGTCTGCATGGGAATTCCAAATAAAAAAATAAATTAGGCTAGTTATAATTAATTAATTAATTAATTATGTTTTAATTCATGTAAAATAGAAGTTAATTAAGTGTGAAATTGGTACTAACATAGCCCAACAATTGGAGGCAAACTTGCAAGCTTCGCATAACTGATGCCCTGCAATATTAGCAAACAGGTTTTAAATTGAATCACCTAAAAATATTATGCACAACAGAAAAGAAAAGAAAAAACAATACAGTCAAATAACAGATTAATTCCAAAACCAACATTACCATATTTGAAAAGAAAAAATAAATTAAATACAATTCACATGAAGGTTTAAAAAAATGCAGATTAGCATAATATTTAGTAGGAAATCATTTAAAATCCAACTCAATTGGATGAGCATTAGAAGTAATCCAAACCACCATTTAATTAATGTCCTAAATGACAATTAGAATAAATGCACATCACCACAACCTGGTCTTTTTTGTCCAAGTAAATGACGGTTATTGATAAAGATAGTTGGTCATGGCAGCGTGCTAGCTTCTATACACCAAAGTTCATATGGTTTTCTTAAAAATGAGGGAGAGAGAAGCAGACGTGAGCTAGGCTTGTGATCAGGACATGCTCGACCCTTTGCACTGAACTTCAAATCCCAATCCCGGCACGTATAGAGAGAGAGAGAGAGAGAGAGAGAGAGAGAGAGAGAGAGATTACCTGAGGAATTGCAAGGCTGGCAATAGTGAGGCCAGAGATGATATCAGACTTGAGAAGCTTAATATTGTACTCAGGGGCCCACTGGAAAATTGGGAAGAATAACTGGAGACCCAGAAGCAGTTTAGTGAACCAAGTTTGGTTCTTGAATCTGTGAAGTGGGTTGTCTGGGAAAAAGATGTCAGCCAACCTCCGCCGGAGTTTCTGCAGGGTGGTCTGTTTCGGTGGCAAACAAACCCTGTGGATTTCTAGCGGTGGCATTGCTGAATCTGTCGGAATTCTGATGGTGGTTTCATGGTAGGGATGATCTTCCACTCTGTTGGAGTTCACACCCATATCTTCTGCAAAATTGCCCAGCAGCGCCCTCCCCAAAGTTTAATACAAAAGTGCACTACCCTGAAAGTTGAAATAAAATGGCAATGGTGGGTTTGTATTTATAGAGCTTTGGAAATGGGGGAAGAGAGGGGGGCAACGCAAGTTATCATACAGTTTGTGCTTTTCATGCCAAGGGCAGGGCAGTTTGGTCATATCATTTGTGTTTTGATTCAGGGATATATTTACATTATAAAGGTCACCACTAAAAAATTTGAGGATGTCGTCAAATTAGACTTTAAAATTCGTCATTTAATATTATAGTTTAGTAGTATTAAGTGTAAATAATATTTTTTATTTTCAAAATAAATAAATAAATAAAATTCGCCACTTAATACTACAGTTTGTGCTTTTACAATTGCTAGCTTATTGTGAGCTCTCTCATCTTTTAGTGTAGATAATATCGTTTATTCTAAAAATAAATAAATAAAATAAAAGACTCTAAAATTCAGGTGTTTATTAGGATTTTAAAGGACTTTGAAATCATGATGTAATCAAAATAGGATTTAACAAGATTTAATGGGGGTGTAGTCAAATTAAGATTTGGAAGGATCTTAAATGAATTTAGAATCAGGACATAGTCAATTAAGATTTTAAAAGACTTTAAAATCATGCTGTGGTCAAAGTAGGATTTAACAGGTTTAAAGAATACTTCCAAACTTAGGTGTAGTCAATAAGATTTTAAAAGATTACATACAAATATGTAGGTATTCAAAATGTGAAAATTTTGAAATTTTTTTTTTGTAGAATTTAAGACTGAATTTTATACTTAACAAAAGTTATAGAGAATCCTATCTCCATCCTTGGGATTTATTTTCAAGCTTCTCTCTCAACTTTCAAAGTTGACTTCTTTTTCACCACCTTCACCTTCAGTGGCACACCACGAATGGTAACGGCGAGGACGCAAACTTCAGCTCCAACTTCAAGCCAATAAAGAAAAAGAAAAAAGAAAAAAAGCAAGGTCTTTTTTTCCCTTAAACCTGATGCCTCCTTTTTTTTTTTCTTTTTTTTTTTTTCCAATTAGGGTTTTCTCAATTTCCCTCCTTTTTCTTTCTGTAAGGGGTTTCTGACTTCGTTGTTGATTGCAATTTGGCTGTGGCCGACGGCGTTAAATCCCAATTCTTGTTTCTGAGTCGCCGTTGATTGCAATTTGTTGCGTAATTGACGATTTTTTAATCTTTTAAAAATTTATAGTTCAAGGGTTTTTTAGTTGGATAATTTTAGCAGCCAAATGCTGAATTTTGGATTTGGAGTTAGCTCTTGGCAAGGTAATTTATTGGAACAATTTGGGGTATGATAATTGTATTTGGAAATTTGGGATTTGACCAGATTGATGAATTTGAACTTTTTAACAGGATTTGAAATTTTATTAGAATAATTTGATGGTTTCACGTGGATAATCATGATTTAAACGTGGTAATTGGTAAATATTATAAGGTAAATCTTAGTTTACTACCTTCAAATTTCATAGTTTTCAATATTTTATATATAAAGTTTTTTTTCGTCTTAGAGTTTTAATTTTGAAACAGTCTCATATATCTGTTAATTTAGCTATTAAGTCTCTCGTTAATTGACAACGAGACATATGATCGCAAACTCAATCCATCTTCTTCCCAGGACCAAACCAAAATCTACCTCTAATTCCACCAAGATTATCAATTGAAGAAGCTCAATCCCACATCATTGTCCTCAAATTCCACCAAATCCGCTAGCACATGTTATCTAACCTTGTGTTTTTCTCCTCCGGACTCCTCGCTGTCGTCGCCCCCTCCATTTCCTGCAATCTTCTTCCTAAACTTCAAGATCTTGTTTTAGAGCTTCGAGATCTCAGAGTCGATGAGAGACATGTGGAGGTGGACGGTCTTGGACACAACATTGGCGACTTCGAAGGAGAGAATGCTGATGGTCTGCTTCTGGGTTTTGGCGGCGGTGGCACCGACACATGGTGGCTCCTCTGCTTCAGCACTTCGATTCTTTTCTCTCCTCGGGTGGCTCGCGAACCAGACCTGCTCCGGATCAGTTTCAGAGTCAGGTTCCTCAGATTTTGGGACCCCAGAAAGTTTGGATTTTATTTTTTGTAAATAATCGTGGGTGTTTGGTGGGAAGGAAAAGGTTGTGAAGCTGCTGACTCGCAGGAATTCAAAGTTCAATTTTTTAATCGGAAGATTAAGGATTTGGGGGTGTTTGATTTGATTAATGGGTCTTACAGTTCATAGTGTCACCGCCTTGATTTCTTTCTTCTGGTGTTGTCGTAGTCGTCGGTGTTGCTTTTTACTGTCGCAATCGGATCTGCGTTTGGTTTCTCAATCAGACATTCTCTTTCCTGTCGCTTGGAAACTTTGTTCATCTGTTTGGTTGCCGAGAAATTACGAACAAGAAAAGGTGAGACAAAATGTAGAGTAAAACGTAAGTTTCAGTTCTTTGTCTTCTGGGTTAGCTGAATACCTACTTATTAGTGACATTTTAGTTCTGTTTTGTATGATTTCAATTGCCAAATGATGGAATATCCAAGATGTAACCTTTCCCGTTTTGTTTTACTTACATATGTCGGCAAGTGGGACAGTATATGGTTGTTGATATAACCAATCTGTTGACGTTGTTCTTTTTTAGGTTTTTGCAAAGGGTGGAGGTGAAGAGGGTGGAGGTGAAGAGGGTGGAGGAGAGAGAAGGGAGCGGAGCGGAGCAGATGGGTGGGTGCAGAGGAGGAGAGAAGGGAGAGAGCGGATAGGTGGGTGCGGAGGAGAGAAGGGAGAGAGAAGAGAGGGAGAAGGGAGGCAGGGGTTGGGGGAGATGGGGATGACTGGTGAGGTAGGAGACGGATCGGGTTTGCAGGGAAAAAGAAAACCTTTTTTCAATTTTTAATTTTTAATTTTTTAATATTCATTGTGGGTCCATATTGACACGTGGCGTCCAATTAACGGAAAACTTAACAACCAAACTAATGGATGTATAAGACTGTCCCAAAAATAATACTTTAGTATGACTCTGGGACAAAAAACTTCATGTACCAAATATGGAAAACTTAAAAGCCAAACTAATGAATGTATGAGATTGTCTCAAAAATAACACTTTAGTATGACTCTGGGACAAAAAACTTCATGTACCAAATATTGAAAGCCACGTAACTTGAGGATAGTAAATTGAGATTTACCCTATTATCAAACAGCAGTTCCATTGTTATTTAGATTATTATTTTGCATAAGAAACTTTAATAATTTTGGTACAATGTTGCTGCTCACTCAAACATTACATCTGTAAATCCTAAGAAATCCATGAAAGAAGTCTATACAAATCCATTGAAATCTATAACAAAAATTCATATAAATCTGTCAAAATTTATATAGAATTGTAAGTCTATTAACAGATTTAAAAAAGTCTATTAAAATCCTCTAATCCAAATTTACTACACCCCCTAAAAAGTGCATTCAAATTTAGATGTAGTCAATTAGGATTTTAAAAGAATTCATAAAAATCTGTAGGTATTCAACATGTCATAGATTTTGAAGGATTTCATTAAGTAAGAAACTTTGTAGGATTTGAGAGTGAATTTTATGCATAACAAAGGCTATAAAGAATCCCACCTCCACCGCTATGATTTCTTTTCAAGCTTCTCTCTCAAATGACGAAACCAAATTAACATTTCTTAAGCACCAAATACTCTGGGGACCTTTCTTCTTCGTTGTACTCCTGGATCTCACTCTTTCTTAGTCTGCATCTGTTAAAAATGTCAGTTTCTATTTTTTTTTTTCATTTTTTTTTATTTTTTCGGGTGGGGTTTTCTGAAGATTATGGTTTGTATGTTTTTCCCATTTGATTTAAAAAACTGTTTATAAGTAGTATGAGGTTTTGTTGTTTTTTGCTATGCTTGCTCTGGTGCTGTGCTTCTGGAATTGAATGTGCTTCTATAGGTAGTTTCCTATCTCTCTCCCTTTCTCTAGTTGTATTGATTCGTTCTATCGCGTTTTTGAAATCAAGATTTGCATGGGAATGGGAAACCTATGGAACTGAGAGGCCTTCTTACTTTATGTGAATGCTTTGTATAATTGCCCGGAAATAATTTGACAAAAAATAGCATAAGAGAAAGGGAACAAGCTATAGGCCATGATGTGACAATTTGATTAGATTTATGACGTAGTCATATTTATTACAATTTGATTTATTTGACGGTCAATATTCAATGCTGCTTAAATCTATCAAAATTCATGAAAACTGTTATATGAATCTTCTCAAATCCTTCAAAATCCATTGGACTTTGTACAAATCTACACAATCTTAAGAAATCCATCATTCAGAAAAGTTTATTAAAATCTTATGAATCCAAATTGACTACAACCCCTTAATATTAAGACTTATTTTAGTTACATCCCTTGAAATTCTATTTTGATCTCACTTTGTCCTTTGTAACTCAAAAATCACTATTTTACTCCTTGAAACTCGAAATTCATTCCACTTTGACTCGTGGACTCTCTCTTCTCCCTGAAACTATAGGTCGTCTCCAGAAACATATATGAAACTTAACACCCAATAAGACTACGTCATATGTGCAATAAATTTAATTATAAATTTCCATTATGTGTTACCATTTAATAATCAGAAAATATAAAGTTTAAAATAAATTGAAGAGATGAAAAACTTAAAAAAAACAAATTTTGATTAGTTTGGTGTACCCAAATAAAACGCACATAAGAAATTAACATATATAAAGCAATGTGGACAGAAGTTTGAGTTTTACAGAGACGACTTTTAAGTTTCAGGGGGCAAAATGGAATCAAAATCAAGTTCTAGGCGGCAAAGTGGAGTGAATTTTGAGTTTCAGGGAGTAAAACGGCAACTTTTGAGTTACAAGGAACAAAATGAGATTAAAATTGAGTTCCAAGAGACGTAGCTAAAAATAAGTCTAATATTAACTCATATAATACTTTTTTAGTGCATACACATTACATTAAGTGTGCGCTTGATATGCGAAGGGAATTCATGAAAAATAATTTTTCAAGTTTTTTCTTTGAGGATGAGCAATATTATTTACTACTACCATATTTCGAAAAGATATGAACAATGAAAGTAAATATATGGATAATGCTAGGGAGATCAAAATCTTAAACTAAATTTGCAAATAAAATGATGTGTCACCAATAGGAAATAAGCACGTTAATCAACACTTAAGTAATAATCCAATTATCAGCAATCACATTATTTGATTTACAAAATTTAGTTTAAAAATTTGGTCTCCCTAGCATTATCCTATGAAATATAGAGCCAATTTTGTATTTTTATTTCTTACTAGAAATAAAACTGGAAAAGAAATTTGAGCATGAAGGGTTACTATGGTCATAATTGGCTTTTCGGATCAACACGATAACTAATTAGGTCACCCATTAATAACGGGTCCTTAACGAATGTATACACAGGTAACTTGTAGGTAACCCGTTTTGACCCCTTAAGAAAAAATTACTTTGATGATTTAAAGTTAAACTACTAAACAAACTTACTATAAAATACAATGATCATAGTGTATATATTGTCTATTAAATAAGTATTATTGTATTATTATTCTATATAAGTTGAAAACTTTTTTTTTTTTTTAAGTTTTGTTTATTTATGAGGGTTTCTTATTATCATTACTGTGATAGACTGTACTTGACCTGTTGTCCAAAATTCAAATCAACTAGTATAAGTATTAGCATAAACAAAAAGATAGACTTTCAATTTTAGAGTCAATGACCTAACAAAGTTTTTTACTCTCTCTCGCGCAGTCATACTCATGAATTTTTTATCCTCTTAAAGTGAGATTAAAACATTATAAAACATATTAAAAAAATAAAAATATCAAAGTACATTAAAAATACCAAACACATGAAAAAATTAAAATAATTAATTTACAAGTGCAGAAAATGTGAAAAATATGCAAACGCTTGTGATCGCATTCTCTACACTTTGAGATTGGTACATTGTCGTTTGAATTTTTAAAACCTTGCAAACCCACATGAGTAGTATTTTTAGGCGAGTCCAAAACAAAAAAAAAATTATAATAATTAATGTACAGTGTGAAAAATGTGAAAGAATATAAAAATTCTCATGCTTGTATCATTGACACATAGATGATGGTTAACTTCATCGTTTAGATTATTAAAACCCTCCAAACCTCATGAATAATATTTTTTATTTAAGAGCAAAATTAATAAAATTCATAATAATTATTGTAGAAGTGTGAAAAATGTAAAAAATATATGCAATCACTTGTAATGACAAGCTTTACAACTTTTATGAAGAGGTCAACTCCGAAATTCGACACCATAATCCATAAATCTTTGATTTATATTTAACTGTCGATTGTTGTTTATACTTTATTCTCTCACAAAATTTTGTTTTTTTGAAAACATGATCTTTTAATGAATGTAGAAAAACAAACGGTTCAGATGGTTGATATCCCATTCCGATATTTACGGTTAATTAAAATAAGAGTCGATGTTATATAGTTTTTGGAGACTTTATAAACTCCGACAATATTTTCACTGACGGTAAAATTCTGAACATAATATCAACAGTCTGAACTGTTCATCTTCATGCACCCTCTAAAAGATCTTGTTTTCAAAAAAAAAAAAAAAAAAAATTAGAAGAAAAAAAAAATGGTGAGAAGAATGGAGTGTAAATGTAAATGACAATCAACGGTTAAATTTTAATCTATAGGTTATGTGATTATAATGGCGAATTTCGAAGCTGGGCGTTTATGAAAGTTGTAAAGCTTCCCATTACATGCGTTTATGTAATTTTTTTTGTAATTTTTTCACACTTCTACATTAGTTAAAACTTATGTCATCCTTGAAAGACAAATGTATTTTTATGTTTTGAAGTAATATTTACGTGACAATATGCAGTATGTATATATTAATTTAGTATTATGGTTTTCATTTGATTATTTATTGGTTTAAAATATATTTTCTTTAACAGGTAAAAGGTCGAACCATATTACCCAGTTAATATTAACAAGTCGAGTTCGGGTCAGGTCATATTACCCGTTCATTTTAACGGGTGCTACATGACACGACCCGTTAAGATATCGAGTATGAGACAAAAATCACACGAACACGGAAAACACAACACGAATGTCAAGTCTAATTAATTACATTTTTTTTCACAAGCTTGATTTACCAAATATGGGAAAGGAAGTGATTTTCCATTCCCAAGCCTCATTTTCACCGCACAAAACATAGCTAAAAGGGTAGAGATTTGACCTAAGCCACATAGTGAGCCATTCATAATAATATGATTGAAATAGGGTGAGGAATTTGAGTTAAACAACATAATGAGTCAGCTACAATAATTTGGTTTGAAGTCGTCATCTCCAAGAGTTAACTTGAGACCTCTCACTTTCAAATTGAGAAAAATAGCACAAGAGCATACACTAGTAAAAAACAACCTTTGCGCGACGAAACACACATTATCGCGCAAAGTCACTTTGCGAGACGAAATTCAAAACTTCGTCACTTTGTGCGACGAAACAACATCATCATGCAAAGTGACTTTGCATGACGAAATACCAAACTTCGTCATGCAAAATCTTTACAAAAATAAATAAAATAATTTTTTTTTTAAATATTTGCATGACGTAATCCAAATATTTCGTCGCCTAAACCAATTTATTTTCCTTTTTTTGTACGTATAATACTTAAGAAATTGAACGGTATATATATTTATTAAGTAGCTTTAAATTTATTATTTCAGTTCGGATCGGGTTTTTGTTAAAAAAATATATTATTGTAGTTTGGATTGGGTTTTTGTTAGAAAACATATATTTTAAATTGACGATCGAATTAGTTCATTGTAGTCATATAGGGTCAAGGAGTGTAGTTGTTAAAAATCATCAACATTGGAGTTGAAATAACCGTTAAATCGTGATTTTTCATTTATAACCGTCGAAAAGTTTTGTCCCATTACTTGATCTTTGAACGTTTGTGTTTTCCGATTTTTAGCGTATATGATCTCGAAATATATACAAACAAGTTTGACGGTTGGATCATTGATACTAATTTCGTAGAATGCGTATCC